TATATGGTTTGAGGGCCATATTAGTAGTGGTGTTTCACACCATTCATTGCTGCCCCTCATTGTGTGTCGGTAAATATGGTTCATATCATTATTATCTCATCAGTGTATGTATGTATGTTGTACAGCAGGTCTTAAGATTAAATATATCTGATTTATCGTGGATCTCTATCCTGAGTTGCGTTCCAGACTGTGTTTGTTCAACAACAAGGTAGACATCCACACTTTCGTTTCACTTTCGTTCTTTCTTCAGAATGCTGTTCTTTAGCGAAATTGATAAATACCTRAATAAAAGAAAGTGTTACAGGAACTTAATGATTTTATCACCGTTTATAAGTCTATTGAATTACTATAGATGAGAAAATTACTGTTATTGCTGTCTAGATGGATGATGTAAAAATGCATTAATGAAACTTTCAAAATTTCTTGCTTTAGAAAATTTGMATTATTGTTCGGTAGAACTGAGAAGCAATGACGTCATATACATGTATATACTTTTGCCCACTTTCTATTCACTATATATAATATATTTGCAATATGTCTGGCAATTACTTTACTAATTATACGTGAAATTATAGTGAAATTATACGTCTGAAGAATCAAAATAGTGAATTGATCACTATGGAGTAAAAGCCACATTCCCCTTTCTTTGAGTATCCCATAGTTTCAACTGACCTGGTCAAGAGTGGTTTGACTAACACTGTAGTCCACTATTCCAAGCATTTCACGGTTTCTCTCCAGATTTCCAAATATCTGCGACCAAGTCAAATCCTCGTTGATTATGTGATATGTCAACATCCCCTGTAAAATTAACAATTTGAAKTGTTAAGCCACTACGACACAAACCCAAGACCAATACTAAGCGCAAGTGCGCAAGACACTCTTAACATCACGAAAACTCTCAACGCAAGTCCTAACATTACCGTAAACCAAAGTCACATGAATCCAATTTTTTTTATATTCTTGGATTTTGGTGATATGATTCCTTTGCGAAGGCCTTCCTGTTATAGTGAAAACAAACGCAGCGCAGGCACAATGATCATCGAACTAGTGCCATTTGTAAGCGCTCCATTGACAACAGGATTATGACTGAATTAGTATAGTACAGGGATGATAGCGTTAACTGTCAGGCATAAAAGGAAATTAAAAACTACTGTTATTTTGTGCATTATGGTGTTTATATACTTACACTATGTGATTCCATTAGAACAGCTCCTTGGAAGGTCTCCTCGATGAAAGACTTTGCCTTAGAAACAGCAGCAGCGTCAGTATCCATAGGGAGTACCAGCTGTTGAGGGTAAGCTCCGTCTGATGGAGGTGGAAGAAAAGCAACAGGCGGCGTATTCAGCTGCTGTGGAACAGCTGCATTGTGCATAGGGTACCCTGGATCATGTACGTCTGTAAGACTACTTGCAGTTGGATTGACGTAGACCACGTCTGACACCGCAGGGGTTACTTGTGATACTGTAGCAACTGAGTTAGCAGTTTGGTTGCGACCTTTTACTTTGATCATAAGTGTATAACCAGTACCAAATCTAAAGGAAAACCAATAGCAATCATCAGCCAGCCTGTCAATCTTGTTGAGATTGATAAGGAATGATGAATAATCTCAATACTTTAAACGGTACCTGCTTTTTAGATGCTGCGTACTACCGATGCACTTGAATTGACCATTGACCATGATGGCAAGACGGGTACACAAAGCCTCACACTCCTCCATGCTAAAAAAACAGCAATAAACCGGTCATTGTCGTCAATACGATACCATGCAGTACTACATAACTCTTGCATATAACGCGCGCTTTGATTGGTCAACGGGTGTGCATAGTAATTAATGAGCGCACAAATACGACCGATGTCCASTTCGTATAAAGCAAAAAACAAAACAAACAAAATAAAAATATCGAAAATCGTCCCTCCTGTGCAATAAACACAGCGAGATGGTCAGTACACTCGAGAAGCTGCGAGAAGCAAATAACTGTTGACATTCTTTTTTTTCCTATCACTATTTAATTTCACGGTGTTCTGCCTTAGTTCTTGCGTGTATATAAACTACTCCATAGAGGACGCACGCAGACCGGCTTTTTTGTTCCTTCGAAAATCAACAATCTTGCTCACAATAGATAAAAGGAAAAAGAATTTAGGGAGTATATGCATTTTAGAGTCGGGATGTGATTATTTTTAGGTTGCTTAGTTGATCTAAAAGTTTTGAATAAATTTGCGTTTATTTTAAGCTACACATATCGTCAAATTGAAAGTGACACTTACTAACGCTGTAAAAGATACAAACCTGTGTGATGTCAAAACGATAGATCGACCACCTTTCATAACATGAATTAATGCATTCCATAGAAATCGCCTTGCAACAGGATCCATTCCACTAGTAGGTTCATCCTACAAGCGAACATTGTATTGCATGATACCGACATATTTCAAAGAACATTGAATACTGCTAGAAAACAATTTTCTCAACCATATCACATTAGAAGACCGGCATTATACCAGTGACGCCATTTCAAAATTCAGTTTCACTCAGAATATTTAATATTTTCTGATGACAAAACTTACTCACCAAGAACACAATCGGRGGATCTCCAACCAGTGCAATCGCAGTGCTGAGTTTGCGTTTATTDCCACCACTATTTATAAACAAAACTTATTAGTTACATTGTAGTTTATACTGTTAGTTTCCTTTGTAACTATCTCTTTGGTAGTGCTATAAAACACTCAAGAGTGGCTGCATAGGATGCTAACGCACCTCCTCCGATGACATTTGAACAGGGAAATGGAAATGGATCGACAAAAGGAATGAATCGTCTCGGATTTAGATTATAAACACAGAAAGAGTTCTATATTTGAGAAGCCTGAGGAGGAGGTATAAACTGCAAAGGTCGGCGTGAATGTAAACTATCACGATGCATGATCTAGATGAGCAGCTACAATCGACTGATGAATGGGAATGAATGAATACATGAATCACTACCTGAGATTACGACTGAATAGATAGATGAATAAGAAATGAATGAATAGACGAAACGAGAGAGAATGAAATTTTACCTGTAGTTTCCACTCAATTTGTCCGCCCATTTTCCAAGGTTCAACTTGCTTATTGTTGAAGAGACAATTTCGTCTATCTTTGAAGGATGTACACCACGCAATTGGGCGTACATTTTGAGCATCTCACGACCGGTCATTCTTTCAATCAATGCATCAAACTGAAAATGATGTTTTAAAAAATTGCCGATTTGATTTAAAAAAACGAATTCATAATATAGACGGCATTCAAATTTTTGTTATTACAAATGACATCGCATACTCGGGTTTCACGGTTAGAGCTCCGGTCTATCACCGCTCAGGTATGGCCCGAATGGAGACTTAAATGAAGCTCCCTCATGTTCCTCAGACTCAATCATGTTGAGCTTCGCCCTACTTATGAGCTGCGGCTAGATATTAGGTCAAGTTATGAGCTACTCAAATTCTTCTGTCTTAGTTCTATTATCTAAGTACATCGCACATTGAACGATTCGTTTTTTTTAACAATTCCCTTCATAAAAGAAGTCGGGGGATCAAAATGTTGTGCTATATATACAATCCATTAGATGCCTAATACTAATAAAAACTGAATAACGAAGCTCAGTGTACATTTTGTCGATCTGTTCTCAGATACAGTCGTATACGACTAGTGTGATATGTATAAGGAGGAGCCGACGGGTTCCTGGGAGAAATATATCTGTTCTTATGTCCCAGCCACGAAGCTGAAAGTCACAACTGGTTGCCAGAGCGAGAAATTCAAGGATAAAAAGAACTCTTCAGGCAAGGAATACTTCATAAGAATTTTTGCCAGGAAAATAAAATTTTCCTGACTAAAAAAATATWARCCGCTTTTGACAATAAAAACGTTATTTTAAAGAAGGAGGGGCGCCAGATTTGCTCGCGATATTTTCAAAAATGTAGCTCAAAAATCCCTTTCCCAGGAAAAAATTGGTACAAGAACAGTTATTTAGAAGAACCCCTCCTGATTTATCCAAATCAATAAAATAGAATGATTTTCCACTGACCTGAGGACAATATCCAATGCGTTGCTGCACCTAAATAGCAATATTCAACAATTAGCTATTATACTGCAAAATGTCTGAAACAAAGAAGATTTATTCGCTTACTTGTCTGAGCTGAGTTTGTAAGTTATAGCCATCAAGGTAGGCTGAGCCTTCAGTGATGCTCTGGTCACCAGTCAGCATACTAAAAGTCGTTGTCTTTCCAGCACCTGAATTATAGTTGTTGTTTTTGTATGGTAAGAATATCTGATTAATCACGTCTCAAGCTATTTGTACACTTACCATTTACACCAAGAAGTCCAAAGCATTCCCCTCTTGGTATTCCGATGCAAAGATGATCAACAGCAGTTCTGTTTGATCCACGATATACCTGAGTAACAGACAGAGACACATAAACATACAATGACAAGCATCTTACCGAAATCTATAGGTACCAAGAAACGGAATTATTGTCAAGATAAAAGATGATGTCACAAAGTAATCATACCAACAAACGAAAATGATTATACAAGGAGCAGTGTTWAGTAAATATCCGCACAAGTCTAAAGCAWACGACGACAGATTACGAAACGAAAAGCAAAACAACGACAACAACATTCAACCAAGAAAATAATCTAAAACAATACTCTGTGAAACTGAAACTTAGAATTTACTATATATAAGAACTTACCTTGGTGAGATTTTTGATTACAACTGATTCTTTTTCAATGTTTTCTTTGTCCAGTCCAAGCACGCGTTGTCTTTCTACACGGACATCTTCATCCTGACGATATACCGGAAGAATTTTAAATTGTTTTCAATCGATTTATATATCATGTATTCATAAAATCTCAGTATTCATTGATACCTCATCGCGATTCACGCCAGAATTTGATGCGTTCTCTGAATTTTCTTTTGAAGCAATTCCAACAAGAAAGTTGACCTGCCAAAATTCAAATGCAGACAAAGTCATCTTTGTTAAACGCCGATGCTCTTGTACCCTTATTACGTCATGCTTAATTTAGCGAAGTGCATCATGGTATAGATGTCAGTGTGTGCTATTTGTGGCTGGTGTTTTACAAAGACTCTTAAAACCACAATTTCTGTGAATTGAAATAAACGTTTTGCGTTTATACAGTCCAATTATGACACTGTCTGAGTGTGCAATATACTCACATACGGTTTCTGTAATATCTGATTGAGTGGCAGTTAAAGTAATTTAATCACGTGTACCTGGATCAGAATTGTCAAAATAAAAAGTACAATCGCTTCTAGAAACATGAAGAGAACTTCTTGTCCAACACCAGGCATGTCCCAATCTAGCGGATTTTTCGTGTACGTAGTGTTTCTAGACTTACAATTTCGAATAGCCCTGGAATAATAATAACAACTGCAGTAAGGCTCATAACTTCGAGCCATTCACACAGTACGATTTTAATTTTCTTTAACAAAGTCAAACAAAATTTAAAATACAACAATACGAGCTATTCAAAAACAGCAACCTATAGTCTCAGATATCAGTAAAAGCATCAACTTCCAGCGGAAAAGATAAATTTGGATGGATCCAGGCAGGTACTATTCAGCAGCATTCGGTTGAAAACGACCAACACACAACCAGGCAAAAATAATATTCATTTATCTTAATTAAGACTAGTGAAAATCGATAGTGAAAAGGTTAGCGAAAAGAAGTTAACATAAACAGATTACTTACTCAGGGGAAATTGTGCAAGACGTTCTTCGTTTGTAGTTGAGGGACATGTCATGAAAACTAATAGACAGCCTGGAAAAAAAAACAAGAATGACGTACATTTTTATCAATGAGAGATGGCTCAATTTTAACTCTAAGAATTAATGGTCGTCAGAGGAGATCAGCTGAGTGACTGCATATTAAAATTWAAATTTACATGACATATATCAAAACACGATACTGCATTGAAGTTCTCCTTWTYGGAGAGAATATAAATGGGTTCTAATTTCCACTGTTTTTGTGCATCATTCCCCGATGTAAATATACGTCATAATGAAATAGGGCAATTAACAAAATATTTTAAAGTTGCAGCKAGGATGTTGCATGCTGATAAAGAAACTCCGCCGTCTCTAGTTTGAAAAAAAAAAACAAAAAACAAATTTGATGCAAAAGTTTTGATTCCAACTACGATCTTCTTCAGTGCAGTGGCAAAATGCCATATACCATTTTTTAAGCTAGAGACGACGCAATTTCTTTATCAAATAAGATTCTCGTTTATTCATATTGATCAGTTTTTTGTTTCACAAGAAAACAGGCTAGAGAAAGCAGTCTACAATACATATATTATGGCATCTTACTACTTTATAAATGAAAATAAACCTGTAAATTTTCAAGAAATTACAAATACAACTATTTCAGAAAACGTTGAATACTGAAGATAGTGTATTCCAGTTCRAAATGCATTGTTGGCTRTTTAATCGTCGTTCAAAAGGAGTTTTCGAGATTTCAGAACGGTGACTATACCATAAACTAAGGCAGAAACTTCAATGGAAATTGTCATTTTGAGWTAGGTAGACTTTAMGAGCAACAATGCATTTYGGTCTTGGAAAGCACTATGTAGTATTCAGTATTAAAACTTTTCTGAAATTGCTATATAATAATAGCTTACGTATAGGTGGGGAACAGCATGAAAACGTTATGCATGATTTCTGCATCCTCTTTATACTTTTCCGAAAAGTCTCCCATTAACCGAAATACAAACACGGTAATCAGCATTGCCTATAGAACATAGAAGGRCATTAGGCTAATTTATAACGCCATTATTCTACAATACATCGTACGYTTTGCACACACAAGTAATAGATATATTTTAGTAATAGTAGTTTCCTTATCTTCGTGGTCTATAAATTACTCTTATTATATGGATAGCTCCAACCTCTGCCAAAATTAAACTACAGAATATCTTTGAGTAGCCCTAGCGATACTCATTACCATATTCACCATATGTGAATTATAGCACAGTTGCCGTCTTGAATGAATAAGAAAAATCAAGTTTTTTTGAAGTGCACGTTCCTTGAGATGTCATCTCCTGATCCGTTCCTAACATAATTACTGGCTTTTTAGAAGGTAGGKGCACTTGACTTACCAAGCTCAAGATGGAMAGGATRAATACTGTTAACGCATACGCAATGAGCGGAGATGTGAATAAGAACGATAGGCAGTAGATAAACGGTAAGGCGCACAATCCAAACAAAAGCTGAAAAGATTAACGATGGATGCACGTGATCATAAAATAATGACGTCAAGAGGAATATTATCAATATTGATGATCTGAAACCCGCCTTATTTTTGATTCGTATGTTATAAGTTTGTTGTGTATTCAAGCTATCCGACACAATGTTTTTGGTTTCGGTGTTATTAACCGTCGTTTCCACACCATTCTGCTGGTCGTCYTCATCATGCATATCAGGTAATTAAATCAGAGTATGCTTATATCTTACACTTACCAATAGCAAGAGCACAGTTCCGAGATCATCTTTGAACGCATCGAGTTGAAAAGAAGCGATAAGTATTAGAACAAAAATGGTAGAAATCAAATAGTTAATGTAATCCCAAGTGTAGGTCGCCAACCAGTAGCAGACTGCATCAACACCACTTACGAACTGCAAGTGTTTTGCCTGTGAATAGATTCATTAATGATTTGATAAGTRATATTAGTCCTGACTGATAAAACAGACTGATATCAAAATTGGAACCGTAGTACAATAACCCCTACAACCTATATGCAAATTAAACTGGGGTAGGTTGTCCAATTGGGTAAATATATTTTCCAACAGAAAAAGTTACCMTATAGCGCTTGTATGGATTCCATTCACTRGATAAGGATTTATCACCCTTCTTAYATACTTCGCACAACAAGCCAGATTTTGAGATTTGCAACATTTGACTTTAAGGCAACCAGCAACAATACTACGGGTCTGGAAGATACYGAGCTTGTTGCATAGCTTACCTTGGAAGAACGTTCTTGGACTAGAAATATGATGAAACTTGCTGCCATAAAAGCCATACCCATTGCAAGAAAAATTGCCAGATAATACAGTTGGTAATACTCCGCCCCTTCCTCTCTTGCCTAATGACATTTGATTATATCAAAATTTAACATATTTTTTCTGAGCGCTGTAAATACACATGAATAGTTGCAGTGCAAGTAAAGCCAATAAAAAAACAATGCGTTTCCAGTGTACGAAAAAAATATCTGAAACAAATTCATGAAAATACAGTAAGAATTAAAATTATATTGCTACAGAATTGTTGCCTATTTAAAAGCATATAAGTTTGCTGTGAAATTCCTGTAAATCTCGATTCCCAAGCTTTTTGGTCGAGTTCCACGAAAACTGYCGACAGAGGAACACCACAGCATAAGGAAATATCATAACTATGGAGTCCAATTTCATGTGCCGGCGGCATGGGGATGTTGCATGTACGCACATGCGTTGGTACTACAATCATTGCAAAAATGCTTGGGCCATTGAGTTTTTTGGCATTTTTTTTTTGAAGACAATTCCATCCCCTCTAGCCTTTTGTCATTGAGCGTCTTACCATAGTTCTAAATCATCCAAAACACGCCCCAACATTGATGAAAGGGGGCTAGGGGAGTCAATTGTGAAAAAGTAAAAGTAGAAAAAAGCTGTCTTGAGACACTATTTTTTTGTATTGTCCAAGGTATTTTGCCGGGCAACGATTGTAGGGATTAAAAGGAATACTGTAACGTCAACCTGGAAAGTAATGAGAGCGTGAGTATCATTAGCTGAGCAGGCACTAATGGTGAACGTCGACGTTAATGCATGGTGGTAAAGAAAAATCAATGTTAAAATGAAAAAGTTAAAATGTTTTAAAATTACCTTTTTCTTTGCTGGTATCGGGTAATTAGTAGTTTCGATGAAGTCATCAAGTCTAGAATGTCGACGTAACAATATATTGGACATKGCATTCAGTGCATCAGCGATGGTATGATAGCCCTATGAAATGACAAGTTAGTTTTTTTTCTGAATTTCTCATCAAGGTAAATAAATGGAACAATGATGAGAAAACTATAGGCAGCGAGTCTCATTTCACTGGAAAAAATCACGCGCTTTAAAGGTTGTAAATTTGATGTATATATGATGTAAGTGTCCAAAATGATGTAAATTTAATGTAAATCATTTCCATCAAATTTACATCATTTTGGACACTTACATCATATTTCCATCAAATTTACAACCTTTATGGCGCGCGATTTTTTCCAGTTTTAGCTTCATCATTTCACATAAAAAGCACGAGTCCCTGCTGGGTGAATGGTTATTACGAAGCTTTTGCTGTCTGATGATCGTTCTTTCTCAAGAAAATAACTAGAGAAAATAAGTGTTATTCTTKCCATTGCAAGCCTTGACAATGTGCATTTTTTTCAAATTGAGACTAATTAATATCGTTAGCCTCAAATCACAATACAAATTGTTAGATYTATTGAAATAGYCGACTTGCGAGTTTTGCCCAGTCACACACAAAGAAATCTTCAAGACCAGACGCTGTGCATAAAGCTCAGAAATTCTTGAAAAAGAAAATAGTTTTTCACGATTAACTGAACTTTATGCACGGCGCCTCGTCTTGATTGATATGTATTTAGCTACTGAGCCAAAATGCGCAAATCGACTATTTCAACATTTTCTTTTGGTTTTTTTTTTTTCAGTAAGGCCTTTGCCCAAAAGAATCTGCTGTAATATAGTATACCTTGTTACTGTACCAGACTGTGGACTTTGTGTCAGGCATGACCACCACAGATTTAGTTTTATTGGTTCCGTTATAAGAGGCGGTGAAATTCTTGATCGTAGGAGCAGGCCCAAATGTAAACCCAGCCACGTGTTTCTTAAAGTAATTCTTGTTGTCACTTTTCTCTAGGACATATTCACTGAAGTACACGTTCATGTCATCGAGATTTGTTTTTCTCAGAGAATTTGCGCACCGGCTATAGCTATAGTAATCAAAGGTAGAAATAGATTAGCTTTTATATGGTATTAATTTTTTAGGTACGTTAAAGATTTATAGTTCCCAGCGTGAACCGAAAATCTTTGCTTGATCTCACATAAGAAAAAAACCCTGAACCAATCAGAAGGCAGCTTTCAACATCAGAACTTTAAACAAAGCGAGGATCGCAAAGGCTCTCGGTTGCCTTTAAGGAACGAAGTGCAAAACGCATTCATGATCACATCAAGACGGACAAGCTTCTTTGATCAAGTTTTTCGTCCGTTTTGACGGATAAGCGGTTGGTGCAGGAAATTAAAGTACATTCAAGAAGAGACAAGTCAGAAATAGTAAAACATGGTCTTTGACACAAAGTACGAGAGACACAAAGTTTTGTATTTTGCGCCATTGGCTATTGGAACATACTTAAATGTCATCTCCACATGCCCAAAATTACAGGTAAGGGCGTTTTCCATTTGTCAGAACTGGCTGGCCAGACCCAGAGAAAATGTCATTATATATCATTCCTATTTAGTCGGGAAATTCAAATTTTCAAATTCTTTCCATTATTCTATAAGTCCGATTTAGACGGTGCAACTTTTGCCTACAACTATCGCAAAAAAACCTCGAAATGACAGAAAAATGTTGAGCAAAAAAAGCATAATATACCTCTAAATAGAGCGGACTGGCCGCCCAGTTCTACCTAAATGGAAAGCACCCTAAGTAAACTTGGCGTACGGTTTCTCAAAAAGTAGTTTATAGCCTGTGTACATCCGTTTCTCACCCCTCCAAAAAAATCGGGGAGAGAACGGTGGTAGGTCTTCGGTGGTAGGTCTCTCATCAAAATGTGGGTTCACTGCAGTTTGCGTCGTACATTAGAGAGTTTTAGATACGCGTTTACGGCGTGATCACTGTTTTTCTGTATTAACGCTCCGTTCTTTAGCGAGCATTTTTCGTGCATAAGCGCATCACTATTCCTTTAAAAGTGTTTTAACGTTTGTTTTAAATTTTGGGACAATGAATAAAATTTGGCGTTTGCAGCAAACGTGAATCTAAAACTCTCTATTGATTTCCATCAACTGTTGTAGTTTCAGGAGGCGTACTGATATCTTCTGGTGAAGATTTCGTCGTCGTGCTCTCGATATCTTTAACTGGACAGATAAGTTTGAGAGTTGTTGGGATCGCGTCCAAAGTAATCGATGCATTTTCAGTACTTTTTTACAGGCGTCGAAGTGAGTGCCGCGCGTAAGCTTTTCGTCTTTCATTTGGTTGAGAAACTACGACTTTTGAGGCTGTAACTTCAGAGTTACTTCACTCGGGAGTTAACTGGCACTTTCGCGGGATATTATGAGATGTAGAATGCAAACTACTCAACGACGAATTCTTATATCCAAGCTTTCGATAAATCCCCTTCTCTTCTTTTATAGCAGTAGTAAACACGTCTGGCAAATGTGACTTTTGTTTGGAAGATTGACGGCGAATTCTAATGACCTTATAACTCCATATTTCCCCTGACCGAATATAAGTTTAAAATCTAAAGTTTACAGATTATTTGAGAGCAAATAACATATGAGTTATTCTACATGTTTCAGTGGTTCACATGAAGGCTTAATTTCACTCATGCAAGCACCTTTTCGCGCCATCTATTGATTTTGGCCAATCACAAGCCTCAAAAGTCATCGGCCAATAAAAATCCTTCTCAAAATCTTGAGAAGCTCACGTGACCTCAGAACACGATTAGAAACGGCAAATCACAGACGTTCTCTCCCTCGAGTAGTTTAAAGAATTTTCGCTTATACTTTTAGAGATATCTCTGGGCAGAGTTGGTGTTGCTATGGTACCTAATAAAATACACCCTTCAAAAGCGGCCCAGTGTTTGTGGTATTCATTGTTTTTGTCCTATTCTCTAGTTGTATATATATCGTGAATTTTCTGCTCATGAATTTTTTTCTTCCAAGAAAAAGTTCCCGATTMAGACAGCTGAGCTCAAGTGCAGAAGAAATATGCAAAGAAAAAACATACTTACTAYTCTGAAAGCAAGCAATCCGATGTATACCTCCATGATAGCCCCGAGTCATTGCATTTTGTGTATCCAAAGTTTTTATTCTTAGAGCATACTTTAGAAGTTAGTGACTTGTTCATGAACTAAATGAAAAGAATACGTACAATTAGTGTAGTAAATAAAAACGATTGAGGGCCGGTGGAACTGTTTTCATCCATTCCTTTCCCTTGCATTCTTCTTACATAAAAATACTATTTAAAAATTTGAAAAAGGGATATTAATTGCTTAATGATAAATAGTTAAATAAATTTTATTGAAGTTATGAATTTTTATGAAGTTATTTGCAAAAGAGAATGTGATAAACTCAAGAGAATCAAATAAAACAGGGGTTGTGTATGCTTAAATTCGAAAATGGAGTATCAGACATTGCTGTATTGTGTTTCACTGATACATAAAAATCGCATCCTGTTGCAAACATGAAATGTACTTACGTCACTTTTGCATTTTTTATTTAAGATGAGAAACTGATAGTCACAGCAGGCTGTAGYTTTATTTATGGTGGGCGTCGTGTAGGTGTATTTTGTTCCTTTGACTTCAATGCTGTTGTTCGCGTTTCCCAAATGTATAGCTTTGACGTCATCTAGGATGTCTCTTGCATCGACACGAATAGTTTTAAGAAAATCTYTWGCGACCTGTAAAGATGTAAAACACACCATGGCATCWATAGCCAAATTGTTAGATATCATTTTTATTTTGCATACACTATTTGTCACATTTGTACAGTCTTTCAAAAAGGTTGTCGGGGAGAACAATGAATGTATACACGGCCGAAAGTTGCTATGGGTATTGATTATTAAGGCGAATATCCGAAATATTGTTGTTTCTATCAAATTGAGAACTTCAATGAGGGATCAGTAGCATATTCATATTTGTTGATGTTTTACAGGAGCGAATATCATCTATCGGAATACCCAGCATAATACCCAACAAATCCAACAGTATTTTGTTTGGATACTCATTGTTCAGCTCTCACAGACATATATTACACCATTGCAATTACGATTACTACAAATACCATTGCAATCACTACCACTACGTCACCTTTACCGGGGGCTGATCCAGGATTTTCCTCAGTGAGGGGCTCTCAGGAGGGGTTGCACACAACAAAAATCATTACAATTAAGATACAAAATAAGGAAAGTATTGGAGGATACAGACCACAGGAGGGGGTGCGCACCCCCTGCACCCACCAGCTAGATCCGCCCCTGTTTACTTTCGCCTTCTATTTTTTTAAACATCATCATCAAAGTCCCRACATCATCGGCATCACAGTCACGTGACGTTTTTAACCCCATACCTTAAAGTCCTTTTTAGGTTGGCTGAAATCTGCATGGAATGCGACCACATTGCTGTCATCAGTGCTRAGATTGGAYAGAGAGAGTACACGCGGAGGTTCTATTTTATTACTCGATGAAAAGTTGATATCGGCTATTAGCAAGCCGAAGAGAATCATCACAAGAGGGACTAGTAATTGGGTAACAACTGCTTTCTTATCTCGTTTGGAGTTGAGAAACCTTTTCATTAACATTGCTTTGTACTGTTGCCATTTTAATGGAAGCCCCTTCAATAATTCTAAGCAATAAAAACAACATAAATATTGAAATAAATATGAATTGAATGGTCACTTTAATGGTGGTCGCCTAAATTTCACGGACMAAAAAGGTACTTACCTCCCATTTTAGGTTCTCCATTATTTGACATCTCAATGATATTGTCGGTATCCCTGTGTTGCTGGTGATCAATCGCACTAAACACGAAAACATTATTAAGTAATGTTGGATGACCAAATACGTCACTATACAACATTACATGCATGCTCATATCAATTAATTCATATCATCAGGACTCTATAAAAAAAATCGCGCGGTAATGTAAGAATATAAGTCAAAGTTAAGAAAAGGTCCGAAAACTTTATGTAATATATAAAATATGAGCGGGAGACCTTTATGGTCATTTAAAACTGCGAGCTGCAAGCGAGCAGTTTTATAGCCCATAAAGGTCGGACGCGAATATTTTATATTGCTTATCAAATTCCAACATAAGGTGAAGCATATTTCGAAAAAAACTTCAGGATAAAATGTCATTTGTAAGAGAAAATCGAAGTTMAAGTCGTATGCAAATCAGGACAAATCTCTTGCTCAYATAAAGATGCGGTCACGGCAATGATTTTCCATTGTGTTTACTTTATGAATTATTAATGAATTTGATAAAGTCAGTTAACAAGGAATGCACGGAGTTGAGATCAAGTTTTGTAAGTATATGGTGTCGACTACAATGCTTGTAATGGAACCATCATTGTAAAAAGCAATAACATGTGATCGGTAATCAGTGTTRTCATGCAATTTTGGATTCATGGAACTGCATGCATAGATATTTTTGACATGCTTACACGTCTTCGACGGTTTTCTCTGATCCCTCTCCCACTTTCATGAATACTTCTTCCATAGTCGTGACAGACACTCCAAAGCTGGCAATCCCATATTCTTCTTTCTTGTCTGGAAACGATTTTAAATGGAGCAAATTACATGGAACTGCCTGATTCAAATGTCAATAGTCTATGTGCAATTTTGCATCCAACCTTACTTTCCAGTTCGAGGAATAAAGACTCAAAAGACTTTGCTGCTTCTCTGGTTAGGACCAACTCCAACTCAGAGCCAACATTGCTGAGGATTTCAGCTGATGGAACAACTCGTTTAATAGCATTGATGGCGACGTTCTCATTGAAGCCTTCCTTTTTGACCAATGTCAGATGGTAACCAACTCCGTACCTGATTAAAAGAACTATTTGAACTAGATTGAAGATCCAAAACGAAAACACATCCTGCATGACTGATCAACTACCTTACTTCAAACAAGAAGCAAAGCAAAACACTCTAGATAATCAATGTTTTCACCTGCTCTTCAAAAAGAGAGAAGATCCACAGCACCGCAATTGACCATCAGCCATGATAGCAATGCGATCTCCCAAGAAATCAGCTTCATCCCTGGCAATTAACACACGAAAGATTCAAGACTAAACACATTCCTTCTTGTTAATATTCAAGAACAATGCGTAATACTCACATGAAATGCGTTGTCAGGATAATAGTTTTACCAGCCTTGTATTTCAACAATAAATCCCAGGTGGCTCTTCGTGCATAAGGGTCCATTCCCGATGTGGGTTCATCCAGAAATACCGTTTCCGACCCTCCTACAAGGGCAATGGCACAGCTGAGGAAGACAAAATGTATGCACCATGAGACAGCAATTCATTGCTTTTTTTTCGATATTGTTTTCAATCATTTCCTGTAGTGCTAGTCAAATAGGTGGTTATGACAGAGATGCGAAGAAAACCACTACTATATATATTAACTTTGATTGATGGACACACATTAAAAACGACTGCACATTTTATACACATAGAAAGAATATAAACATTTCTCATAAGAATACGGCTTATCAAGATGTGACTGAGTTSAGCGGACGTAGCGGCCCATTTCTGTTGCATACTTGTCTGGAGTCAGGTGAATTTCTCAGTCAGGCCACAAAAAATCGCGCAAAATCTTAACTTGTGGACCATTATATCTATCTGATGTCTAAGACCTCTATTAGCCATCAAAGCACGCCCGTTGTGGCATTTGTCTATGATCATGAATTTGGGGAATTAGAGAAACAGAGAGGATACAACACAGTACAAACTAACAAACCTGAGTTTTCTCTTCATCCCTCCAGACAATGTGCGAGACTTYTCATTTGTTTTATCAAGAAGCTGCATATCTGTAATCATGCTCATCACTTCGTCCTTGGCAGCCTGACCGTATTTACCCTATAGAAGACATTAACACATTAATGGTTGACGTCTGTTTATTAATTTTTTATTTTTTTTATTTTAAAAATAGATTTAGTTACGTTCTTTTTTCTTACTCTCTTAATTGATGGCTGCAGTATCTGTAATCTTCACTTATTATAAATGTTGTCCTCGAAAACGTTCATTTAATTTACCTTTAAGTTGACAAAGAATTCCAAATGCTCTTTGACAGTGAGTCGATCAAATAACACGTTATGCTGTGGGCAAAGTCCCARACTCTCTCGTATAGCATCGATGTCTGTCAAAATGCTTTTATTTCCTATCACAGCTGAACCAGAAGTTGGCGGAAAGAGGCCAGTTAGTATGGAGATAGTGGTTGTCTTCCCGGCTCCATTATGGCCCAACAGTGCTGTGATTTGGCCTTTGAAGATCTTCAAGGAAAGGCCATCAACTGCAACCTTGGCCCCGGTTGATCCCTGAAAAAGTGACCATAAAATAGATTGATGCGAATCGAAACTTTCCAATTTTTCAAATTTGGCATAAGAATTAAAGGAATTCATAGATACTTGTGCTGTAAATAACTACGTATATTAATTTCGAGAAGATGCCAATTGCAAACRAAAAGTTTGTAAATTAAAGTCATCATACATGTCTCTGTACGTTTTCGACGGTCTCCTGGAAGTGCTAGAATTTTCAAATAATTCTTCTCACATACCTATGGACTGGCTTATTTCAGACTGTTCTGTTCACGTATTTCTAGTAATGATTTTGCCGTTATAGCCTAATTTAAAAAGTCTGATGGCTTACTATTTCTACAACTACTGACCACTAACCTTAAAGACTTTTCTCAGATTCTTTATGGCAACGCCTACTTCTAGGTCAGCAGGTTCATCTTCTACGTCATGGCTATGGTGAAGTTCTTCATCTCCTTTCTATGTGATTTGCCAATTAATCATTATACCATTCATATGGCAAATTTTATGATTTATTATATATGATGCCAATGATGATAATGATGATTAAGATGTGATATCAATCTTTATCTYTTGTTATTATATAATATATTCATGATGATCATGATTTTTAGTTTGCCTTACCATTTTATCATTGTTTTTGATTAGGTCATCATCAGAGTAACCACACCAGTACGATTTTAAAAAAGGAAAGTAGAATGGTTTTGAAATTCCATACTTTCCAGGAAATATGCCTTCGATATACCTACAAACACAATATAAGTTTGTACTGCTAGAACATACAGAGGGAATTACCATGGTTGTCCGCCAATAGCTGAGAACCATGTAGACTACGTTATATGCCGCAGCTAAACTTCAATTTAAATTCAAGAGGCCGTTTAGATCGAGTTTGGTAAATGGAATATTAGAATACAAGTATATCATAAAAGAGTTTGGGCAAGTACTAGAGAAAGCAGCGGCAGGAAGGAAGGAGGAAGCCTGCTGATGAACATTCACAATGTAAAAAAAGCTGAGAATATAGAGAAAGTGATTTTTAGCTTACTTGTATATGTATACAAATTAGTTAACTTCAAAACGCCCAAAGTAACCATTAAGAAATGTATTTCGGTTTAACAGTCAATATCAGCCATCCTGATAATACAGTGTGTAGATATCATACTGCAACACTAACTGGATTTATCAGCGCAGCTTACCAAGTCAGCACCATATACACAACGCTAGATATTAGCATCATGMCAAAAACCCAGGCCATGGTAAATGTGTCTTCTGGGGTATAMGGTTCATTGATGCTTTTAAATGTAATCCCAACATTTAAGCCTTCAAASCGCGTGATTAATCTAACACCAATTGAAAGGGCACTGTTGGGAAGCAGGCACATTGCTGCTTTCGCACTCCTGAAATGTGATTAACAAATGATTTTATGTTTTTACTGAAGGAACTTGTATACTTGAGTTATTGATCGAACCTGGGCGTAAGTGAATAAAAAAAGTATTGGGAACACGGGGGGGACTCCTTAATATAAAATGGCGGGGGTCCTCGTCGTCCCTTTTAGGGTTTGAAATCAGTGTTTTGTTCCCTCTTAGTAGGGTGAAAATGAGAGAATTCCCACCAACAAAGTTTTGTGATCCCTTTGAAGGTATACGACGACYCTAAGCCGTCATCATATATTTGTATATGACAACGTCGTCCATATCAAACTTATTGCCATACATCGGGTGACATTAGGTTACATTTCATTAGAATAGATCTTTTGATTAAAAATTAAGAGGCTGAAAAAAGCACAAATACGGCATTTTAGAATATATAGGTTCTATATCGGTCATTAGGAAAGCAAAAAGCTTTAAATTTTGCTCTCCGAAACCCTGGGACTCTTGAACAATAGCTTTTACAGTTTTTTGAAGCGAACCGTGTTACGCTGGAGAACAACACGCATAAATCGTTCAAAATTGAAGGAAATTGCCTGAAACTTTACAGAAATGTAAAGAAAAACACAATATACAGGTAGAGATGTTTATTTTTGTTATATTTTAAATATTTCTAAAAAGTACACAAATGCCTAGCTTGTGCTACCTGTGATCGCCTGGCTATTTTGATGCTCAACTCAAACTCTTCAAAGGCGAAAATACATACCTTCGATTTTCAAATTTTCTAACGAAGAATACACAGAAAGGTTACATATATGTTTTATTTTTTTAAATTCGATGGTGGGGTTTTACGATTGTCTTTAATATCATTGCATTTCTTCAAAAAGTCTTGAAATCTGGTCTCTTTTCGTCGAATTTGACACTTCATACGGACTGTCAGGTTACGCTTGAATGATCACGGACTTTTTGTTCCCCTTAATAAGTTTAATATGATAACCTCAATACGAGCAAACGGCGTTTGAAGCTCGTGCAAAATACGCATATAAAATCGAGAAACCAAAACAAAATAACCGTTTATTGATTGGTTCCTCTTAGGTGTGAAATTTCAGCGCTCGCTGCCACGCCCATCATCTCACAATACATCTCACAATTCCGACGACGAGGACCCCCGCCCTTTTACATTAAGGAGTCCCCCCCCCCTCGGGGGATGGGGAAACACTATTGAAATTGCTATAAAAAGAGGTCGATTGGAAGGTCATATACGATTGGACTGCAGATCGCTTGTGAAACTTCGCCCTACTTCAAGTTGTAACAGGACTCACCAATCAAGCTGATCGTACTCATTATTAAATGTACTTAAGATTAATCCAGGAACTAAGGCAGCAATCCACAGCACAGAACCAAACAACATACCCAGAGGTGGAGAGGAAAAAAACACACTACAAGAAGAAGAATATCATTAGAGAGCAGTGACACTACATTGAAATGATAGCCATGACAACAACAATTATAATGACATTGACAACGATAGTGCAAGCTAGACTCGTACCCAGTCGTTACACACATTTTTTGATACGCTGCGAAGGCACTGATGGGATGAAGGAAAGAAAAATAGTAACGACTGGCAGAAAATATATTCAATATGGTGGCCGATTAAAATTCTCTTGAAGAAAGTACATTTCACCCGTTTTTTTAGCTAAAAAGTTTCCCTGTCCACATGCTAACTGCTAACTGGTTCTAGCTATTCTCGTGATGGTATCGACCACCATTATCAAGTTAGCCACAATATTTCCATTTAACTCAAGACGAAATTCTGAGCGCTGAAGTCCTTTTGAAAAATGAACCTGCAGAAGAAACAGACTAGTACCCAGTCGTTACGCTTTATTATTCGATACGTTCGAAGGGGCTGATCTGATGGGAAGGAGAGAAACCATACATTGCGCGTCGCTGAAGAGAAGCGACTGTTTACGAGTCTAATCATGGCAATGTCAATGTCAGTGACAACGACAAGTTTTGTCGAGTAAAAAAATTTCAACAGTACTTTTTATACCTGATGAAGAAGCAGTAGGAAATACCCGACATCGCATACAACAACAAAAACAAGAATAACAAAAAGCCATTGGTATGTTCAAATATCTCGAAGCCCTTGAAAAAACACAGAGGTTTGTGTATTAGAGTAGGAATGATAATATGTTAATTGTCACTTAAACTTTTACCTTTAAGATCGCAGTAGTAAAAACAAGACTGATCATTAAGAACAATAAACATTTGATGTACCAGGCTGCCCAGTGGACCCAGTTGGCTAGACCCATCATTTTCATGGACTCTTTCAAACGGTTTTGTTTCTCGAAAACAATTTCCTGAAAGCAGGAGCCCATTACTAGGAGCCTTCCTCTTCTTCATGAGCTCTTGTAAGGGCATTTACCCCTCTTGGTGCTATTTTTAGAATTGCTCATTATAAGTTCAGCGCAAAACAGCCAATCAAAAAGCGTCTTGAACAATATAGGTTTCTGAATGACCGACGGCCCGGCCCCGATTCGACCGCCGGCAGTTCCAAAGAGGAAGATCTTAGTACTAGACTAATCAAAATTTATTTTCAGGGTGTTTAAAGTTAACTTTTAGTAGAAATATGTCCCAAAAAAGGAAAGCAGAATCACCTTTAGCCGATGAGGAAGCCAGTGATAGAAGACAGGTGAAATTAACCTTGGGAATAGACTTCTGAACCTTTTACGTCACTACTTGATTTTCAATGCATTGTGGGATCAGTTCCAAGAGAAAACAAAAGAAATCCGCCTTGTTCTGTCCCAAACATATCCTACAATGCATTGCGTATACGGTACATGACGTAAAAGCTGCAGAGGTCTATACAGGGGAAAATCTGGAGAAAAAACAACCAACACGAATTATGAACTTTTCATTGGGCAGCCGAAGACCAACAAAATTCATTGGACAGCAAAAGCAAAACAAATCGATTCAAATCACACTCTGGATCTTTAACTGATAATCAGAATTTGAAATCAAATGGCTGTTGAAGACGAGGAACGAGGGTTCAAATTGTACAAAAGCGGAAAATTTTCAACTTGAGCAAACTTGAGCAAAAAGAAGCAAGTAAGCATCAATAAGCGCGCGGGGAATGGCGGGAAAATCTAAAAATAGCACCAAGAGAGGTAAATGCCGTTCCACAAGCCCATGGGAAGAGGAAGGCTCCTAGTAATGGGCTCCCGGTGAAAGAGAGTTTTTGATTAGGCCAAAGTAACTGACATATGAAAAACGAGCAGAAGATTGGGAATGAGTAACTTAAATTGTCCACGTTTATAAAAATCACCATAAATTGGCGGGTTTTTAGTTTCAAATGTTGAATATCAGCGCAGAGCTACTGGCATTTAACATGTACCAAAAACGAAACGAGGCGAATAAGCCTTTGCAATTTCATACACCTGTAATTTCTGGCCCTTAAATGTTAGAGCATTGAAACTTTCAGATCTTACTCATTATAATATTTTTAACTATGGCGTTATGTTAGCCACGTTCTTTTT